AAATACTGACTTAGAACAGGGCACTTTTCGAGATGAAGCACACACGAAAGAGCTCAGAGATTGTTACTACAGGTTGGAGTACCGTCGATTATTCGAAGCCACTTGAGCCTATCACCAAACGAGTCAGGATACCACCAGCTCGAGAAGAGTCTGTACAATCGTCCGCTGCTGGAAGCGAAACTACGTCTAGCGACGAAGACGAGGACGTGTCACAGTCCACGATTGTCGACGCCGACGCAGCGATTGATGCCGCCAACGTCAGCAGCGACGAGGAAATGCAATCAGTCGAGCCGGCAGCACAAGAATTTGCCCGTTCGGGCCGTCAGAACAAGAAGAAGAGCAAGAAAGCGCGGAAGCATGAGCGCAAAATGGAGCGAAAGCACAAAAACAACAAGAACTTCAAAAGTAAGAAAGCAGGCAAAGTACCAGACCAGCCGAACTACCCTGACGAACCTGACGACGAATCGGATGAGAGATTGCTCCGAATGGGCGAGGCCCTTGTCCTTGATTGGAATGCCGAGGCCTATGATGCTCTATTTGGCGCCTCTACGGCGGACGATGACAGAGGCGCGGACGTCATGAAGAACATAGAGGTCCTTGATGACACAGAGCTTCGCGAAAAGAAAGAGAGGCGCGCAGCTCGTCGCAAAAACGGCATCAACCTTGATGAATGTTTTGTCGAATCTTCTAAGAGCGAGATTCTTTCCGAAGATAACGCATGGTATTGCAGCCGTTGCAAGGAGAGGCGCAGGGCGACAAAGACACTCGAAATCTGGACAGTTCCTGACATCTTGATTATCCATCTGAAGCGCTTTAGCGGGGCGAGAAACCTGAGAGACAAGATCGAAGATCTGGTTGACTTCCCTGTAGAGGGACTAGATCTGTCCGGCAAAGTCGGTTTCCCTGAAGGCAAGGATCTCACCTATGATCTCTTCGCAGTCGACAATCACTACGGTGGGCTTGGAGGCGGTCATTACACGGCCACTGCTCAAAACTTCTTCGACAAGCAGTGGTACGACTACAATGGTAAGCTTTACCGACCGCATATCCTTTACACACAGTCACATTGATGCTAACTTCACTAGACTCCATAGTGTCTCGGTGTGAATCCGGCCGCAAGGCCGTATCGAGAAACGCCTACCTTTTGTTCTACCGCCGGCGTTCCCCCGTCCCTTTAGGCCCTCCCTCTCTTCAGCAAATTGTAACCGGCGACAACAGCAATCCCGACTCTGATGAAGATGCAGACGACCAACAACTTCGCTCTCGGTCACCGGCGGGAAACGGCTTGCGCCTCGACGATTCGTCCCGCAATGGGTCGTCGAGCGCTGGCGCAGTCGCAGCGGGAGCCGTAGCCCTGCGCGGGGGTGGTTATCAGCACTCAGCAGCCGCGAACCGTCCAAAGAACGGAGTCGCAGCCGGGAGCCAGAGTGACGATGATGAGCTACCATCCTATGGCGACGATGAGGGCTACGCTGATGACGGTGCTTACACGTCCACTCCTTGGGAAATGGACGCTGATCAACCAGCTTGGAGCTTCAGCGGCCTTGGCAGTGCGAACATGGATCGCCGTAACGACTCGGATGATGACGGTGCCGCGTCTGATACCGGAGCGATGGGTTCCGTAGGTGATGGAGAGATGAGCGAAAGGATGCAAGACTTTGATGACGATGGCGGTGTCAAGAATGGCTGGGGTGGTGTCGGCACACCCGTCGCACAGCAAGATGATGAAGTTGCCGAGATCAGGCTCGTCGGCGAAGACTGAGCAGACGAAAATCCTACAATACGCAGGAGGATTCGTGTTCCCCTGAATGGCAAATCATTGCATCTTTCGTTTGAGTGTATAGGTCGCGATCGTGGGCTTGGGAGACGAAAAGGCTCTCGTTAGATTAGATGGACATGACTGATGAACAAAAGGAGGATAGCATGGAAGGGTTGTACATGACGAACGGGACGGGATATCAAAGGTGGGTGAGGGTAATTATCCTCAGGGCGTTTTGCAAACATAGCATTCGTAGGCGCATCCGTAGGCGTATCAATGAAGATCTTGCATCATTCACCATACTATACAGTATCTTGAGATTGAGCCTCTCACGCCGCGCGCTACTCATTCCGAACAACACCAGCCACGCCATCATCGCATGAACCGCACAGACCCATCCATCACCTCGCGTAGAGCAAGAGCGGAGACAGGGATGCCGGATATCAGGAAGCACTAATGGAGTTGCGCGCAGCCAATGAGCAATTTACTCCAGGGGTTTCTACCACCGGTGTTTGAGGCTTGTGAGTTTGCCAGCCTTGACATTGACGTTCTGGTTCTGCCATGACGCTGTTTCTCCTTTTCCTTCACAGCCTAGCGAACGTGGCGGACATGGTACAAGGTCCGCGGAGTAGGTATAAACGGTGTATACGGCGCTATAGCACATGATGGCGTGCGGCATACCGGCTACAAGCGTGATGGTATGCAACGGTTTTCTTCGTGAATGGGGCGGTTGATAAACGATGTGAAACGCAAAATCGAAGGCACGTACCTGCGTCCACGGCAGGCAAGGACGCTTTGTACGAAAGGTAATCGCGTCACATCCTCCAGAAGCCCCATTCCCAGTCGCAACACCAGTATCCTCGCATACTTACCAACACAGAAAGCCCATGGCGTGCCTGAAAAGATCGAGGTTCTGTGGTGCAGGAACAAAAGCGGGTAGAAGCGATATACAGCAAGGATGTATATTATCAATAGATCCAGGTCCGCCTATGACGATCACTCCTGGCCGCATCGAGACAACACTCCGAACCGCATACCCGGAACCTGTACCAATGTAGGAAATGACGATGACGAGCATTTCCTCATGCGAAACTAGGCGTTGAGATTTCTTGTCATGCTGTAAACCAGTTTGTACTCGGGGAGGGTACTACAGGTAATGCCACAGGGCGTATAAGAGGTATCGTGTTCTCGTTGTAACTGACCAGTCTCTACTACGATTCACTCGCTCAGTTTCGTTCCTGTGTATACTTTACCTCGTTCACTATCTTCATAGTCGTCGTAACCACCAACACCAAAATGCGTTTCTCCCACCTCGCCGTCTTCGCCCTAAGCGGCCTATCGCTCGCGAGCCCCGTCGTCCAGCAAAAGCGCCAGGAAAGCAGCAGCGTAGAATCCCTCCTCACCGATCTCCTCGCCACGGTGCAAGTCTACACCGGAGCCATCAGTACGCCCCTCCCCCTTTGAGCCATCAGCCAAAACAAACCACCCATCACCTGCATTATACTAACAAATGCATCTTAGATGCTACCCTCGCGCCCCTCTCCACATCCTCATCTCTCCTGGAAAAGACGGCCGCAATCCCCAAAGTAGGCGAGCAACTCAACAAGATCACCGCCGCCATCACGGATTCGACAACGCAGATCCGCGATCTCGCTCCTGCAAACGCTACGCAACCCATGGTGCCAGCCGAAGACAACCAGAAGCGGTCCACCTCTACCGATCTCGTCGACGTCTCTCAGCCCAAGGAGAAGCGTCAGTTGATCGCCGCTGGTGCCCTTCTTGCGCTCATCATTGTTGAGATCTTTGCTACAATTACCGCTGCGGTGGCGATTTTGGGTCTAGCTGGGCTTTTGGTGTTTATCAACCCGTTGACGAGCGCGTTGAGTCTTTTGATTCTAGCGGTTCAGTTGGTGCTTAATGTTGTGCTTGTGGGTGTTGTTGCGTTGCTGAACAGTGTGCTTGGTGCGTTGGCGCTTGGGCTTAGTGGGTTGTAAGGGATCAGTTTGGTTGTAGCGGTCGGCGGTGTGTTTGTAGAGATATGATTAGATTTGTTATGAGATTGTAATTCCTGTCTACTTTGGTGTTAGCACGGCGATGTTCCCTCGTCTTCAAGTGAAGTATGACTATGGAGTGTGGTTGACTGATCGACATCGCGTCGATCCGCTTGTTCGCTGCACTGAGCGCGATAAGCTTGCTGTGACGATTGCACCGAGATCGTTAAGTAGCAGTGATAATTTTAAAAAGAGTTTCCTCATGCGAAGATTGCTAAAAATTGACACTTAGTGTCACGGTCCGGGCGCGTAGACGTTTTGATGAAGCGTAGTTGGCAGCACGCAAGCTGTTGAGATGTACGTGACTTGTCTCCGTTTATTCTAGATGCATGAAAGGATACTGGTAGACGTCTTACATACCCTTTGTGCTCCTTTGTTGATTGCTCCTTTGTTGATTGCTCCTTTGTTGATTGCTCCTTTGTTGATTGCTCCTTTGTTGATTGCTCCTTTGTTGATTGCTCCTTTGTTGATGAATGATCATTGTGTGGCAGTCGTGGTTGACTCAAGCGAGCCAAGCCTTCCCATTCACAGTTCAGGAAGTCACAGTCACGTCAGCTCCTCACCACTCACAACGACTCATATGAGCGGCAAGCGTCGTTTCTTCATTCTTAAACGACCGTACAGTCACACCCCATGACTCACATCATGCACCTCTGGAGCAAACCTTCCAGCAACCCATACCTCGCTATACAGGTAACCAACCTCGCGCGATAGTGCACCTCTTACTTCGCAATGTCGGCGTATATCCTTGCACTACCTGATGAATTGTTGCTCGATATCACGGACCATCTGCCTCGTCTACCTCGGGACCGACGCGCCGAACTCGTCTCGTTGGCAATGGTGTGTAAGCGCTTTTGTGAGTGGATGCTAGAATGACATCCAGCTTGCCGTCTCACTGACACCTTCTAGACAATATCGTGGTAGACGTTCTCCATAAAGATGTCTGCATCGACATAGCTAAAGTACACAAACTCGTCTCTTTGTATGCCGCCCGACCCAAGCTCGCGCAACTAGTCAGGAGCATTGACCTTTTCCGGGACGCCGACACCCACGACGAACGCACTTCCGAGCGTAAATCCCGAGGGAAGGAACGGGGTATCTATATGCCTATCATGAGGTCGTCTGGCATTACAAGGCGCCTCCAGCGAATGCTAAAGTATGATTTGCGTCGAAAGAACGTCCAGGCAGACATGGCTCTTCTCCTGCTACAGATCCCCAACATACAGCGCTTATTGCTAGGAGGGTTGTCGCATGGTGATATTCGCTTCCTCGATCCAGTGTTCTTCAACACCTCGGCCTCCATCGCAGATCCAGCTTCTTCAGACGCCCACCGCTGTCGGCCCTATCTGAGAGAAATTATCAGAAAGCGACTCAAAACGCGGTTGAACAAGCTAGAGATCCCTTTCGGTGGGCTATGGGACTCTGTCAACGGGCATCAGACTTTCGATTTGAGCGAGTACGCTCACCTCACACATGTGACCACATGCGTCGATGAACTGATGACGCCTAAATGGACGGCATGGGGATCCGAGCCTGACTACGAACTTGGCGTACTGCCGAAGACGTTGACCCATCTTACGCTCGGAGGTACATGCTGGGACTTTGACCGTCTCCTGACGCATCTCGTCGCACAGAAAGCCACTGGAGTATTGCCGAGATTGCGCAGCCTCACCATCTACACCCATCATCAAGTGGGGCGAGAGGGCATGGGAGATGACCGCGCAAAGTTACCCAACCGTGCGCGATTGGATCACACCGCTACGCATGTCCAGGCACTCCAAGATGTCGGAATAACAGCAACACTAAGACACACCGGTCCAGATCATATGCGTTACTTCTGTCGGCTGAACATGATCGACACCGGTTATCGCTCTCGTCATGTGCTCAGGCAGCTGGAACCCCTAGAGATGCGAGGATACTTCGAGCATTGGCGGCATCGAGCGACTGATATGGAAGTAAGACGACTAGCGCATGAACGTATGCTGGAGCAAGAGGAGCAGCCAGAGGCATATGAGCCGAGTACACACGGAGATAAGAATTCTTGTACCCATGTCGGCGGATGTAGTGAGGCTGAATGGGATGGCCTCGCAAATCTGGCCCTCAATGGCTGAATAGATGATCTTGACATCCTCCAACATGTTCCCTAGTTCGTTTCTCAGCACAGAAGCGCCTCTTACAGCCGATGGTATTACAATCTCCAGTGTGCTCATGCTCAGCATCGTGTCTTTCCAATTCCCTCTTCGCGAGCAGCCTGTCGTCGTTGCAAGTCGCGCATTTGTGTATCAGCACTGCTGCCACAGCTTTCTGGGCGTCGCCTGGCTTGGGTGGTGCGCAGGGATCGCGCCATCGAATTTGGGTCGTAGATGCTACGAAGAAGTCATCGAGCCATTGCGGAGACCTGGGTGGTGAAGGTGTATTATTCGAAGTTGCCCCGCGGTTGGAGTTGAATTGGAATGGAGCATGGGGCTGAAGGTCCGTCGCCGCGGTCACGGTCGCAGTCCCCGTGATTGTGGCACTAGATGCTGGAGAAGCCGCAGCAACATCAACCGTATCGCATTGCATCGGATCCTCTGGAGGAACATCATCATCTCGTGCAAGCATCATACTTGGCAGTGGTTGTGGGTCCAGCAGCGCAATGACGAGTTTCTGGTCGAAGCTGTACTTGGGTAGATCGACGCCATCTCGCATAGAAACAATCCAGACGATTTCATCCTTCTCTTTCGAGCTTAACATCTTCGTCTTTGCGACTCTGGTCATCGTATTCAAGAAGTACTCGCTGATAACAGTGAAATAGGCTCTTTGAAAGATGCTCTGAACATGTTCTGGTACCATGTTACGCATGTTGAGCATGAACTCGCCCGTTTGACGCGTGCACGCCATGACTTGATCATAAGTCTGCGTCTCGGAGATGGGGAAAAGGCCTGCAGCCCATGTGTGGGAGGCATCATTGACGCGCCTTACATGTCTACCTGAGATCTTAGCGACCAACACTGACATGACCTCGGTACGAAGCGGCTCTTCGAAAGATTCCGCCGCTCGAACGTATGGCTGAACACCGTCCGCATCTTCGCATTCTGGGTCGGCGCCGCCATTGACAAGCATTCGGAGACGCGGGACGATATCAACAGCTGGGCAATCCGCAATGCACTTCCGTAAAGGACTGAGCGCGTCATGAGCTGCGCTGTTCGGATCGACGCCCTTCCCGAGAAGCACTTCAATATCGCGTAGCGTATCGGTGGGATGTCGTTTTGCGTTCGGACAGCAGCCGAGAACTTCGGATAGGAGCGAGGTACCGTCGTTTGTAGGCGTGGGTACAAAGGTGTCAAGGAGCCACCGCGCAAAAGTTGGAGTCGAATGCCACAGCGCTTGGTGCTCAAACTTATCCCGACACAGAGACTTGCAAGGATAACCTCCAAAGAACGGAGGGAAGCTAGCACCCTTGCAAACAAATAGCCGGAGGCATTCAAGCTCGTCTGAAGAAAGTTTGGCAGCCCAATAAGGGCGATTTTGCAATGCCATGATGAACATGCCAAAGTTTGACTGGGCAACATGTTCTGGAGGCTTGCGGTGAACATTTGCCCCAGCACTAAGAAGCATTTCCAAAAGCGTGTGGCAGTTCTTGCGGGCCGCTGGGTCTGTGTAGATTTTCATTCGATGTAATAGGCATAGTTGCAATGCTGTGTGAACGCCAGGCTTCTCGGGCGACGGACCAGCATCTTCGACGTTGGCACCTCGGTTGAGAAGGATGCGCACGATGTCAGGTACATTCCAGAAAACTGCTTGACGTAAAGGAGTCCAGCTTGAGCCCGGAAGTCCATTGACCTCTGAACGACCTGGTTGGAGCAGTGCTTGAACAGTGTAAGTGCGCCCGTTTTTGATGGCATTATGCAATGCCAAGTCTGTTCCAAGTGGATGTTTGGAACCTTTTGCGCCGTAAGCAAGTAAGACCCAGATGATCGGTCCGCAAGGCATACCGCACGCAATATCGAATACGGTCTGATTTGGATGCTGCAAGATAACCATCTCGCTCAGAGCAGGGTGGCCAACGAATCGTGCGCCTGCTTCATCGAAAGGCAGACCAATGGGATGGTTGATGTGATCGACATTGTCGACAATAAGCTTTTCCAACTTCTGCAAATCGCCGTCTAGGACTGCACCGACCATGTCTAGTACTATGTCGGAGGCCTGCCTAGAATCTTGCGACGATGTCTCTTCGAAGGATGGCCGGAGACTACGATATGGTCAATACACACTGAGCGCACAAATATCGGATGATCAGAGAACTACATACTCTTGTGGCTGATTTAATAGACCCAGAAAGGTTGGCTGTGCGACCGTTCCGGCTTCATCAGCGATAAGAGTGGGTAGACTAGCTACAACTTGCCAACCACCCGTCTTTGTACAATGCTCTCTGGAAGTCGAGTCTGTCGAAATGGGTTCTGCGAACTCGCTTGACTCGTTGTCGTTCCCAGCGTTGCCATCGGAACTCTGCTCGCTGGGAAGCCTCGCTTTGTGACGCGACTTCGTGGCTCGTCGCGGTTTGTGCCTCATGATGCCCCACTCTTTCAATCTCATTCGATATGCGCGTGTGCTGTATTCCCCGTCAGCTATCAAAAGACAACAAACCATCATCTTTGCAAATACTCACGAAGCCCGAAATTTGTGTTTGCGTTCCATGAGCTCCTTGACCTCTTCCAGGGGCTTCTTCTGGACGAAAGAAAGCTCCTTGATCTCATCCTGCACCAACTCCCAGTCTTTCGTCATCCTTATATACTGCGGCCCGCAGCCCTGGTATTGCACCTTCGATGGGCAATAGACACTGGTCAAGCACAGCAGGAGTGCGAAGGTGCGGCCTCAAGACCGTGCGCCGGTAGCTAGCCAAGATAGAGGGAAGAGCCTATGAGACTCTAGTATCGACGCTAGATGCGGTACTGGGACCGGTACCATGAAGGTCATTGTGCGATCCTGGAGACATGTCGTGGTTATAACAACACGCACGAGGGGACGCGGTGTGCAAAAGTAAGCCTGAGTTCAGATGACGGAACGCGAAAGTGCAATTCCAAGGCTTCGTATTGACTAGGTGGCGTGTGTCGGGTCCAACGCGAATTGAGTTTAGTGTATGTGGCACAGCCTCAAGCTTCAAGCCGCGGCTTTGCGCCCTGCGTCGAAATCGCTCATAACCCTAAGCTCTTTCTTACCCTGTCGAATACAACAACGCGTAAGAAGCAGATCGCATATGTAATTAAGGGTCGAGAAGTCTACAAAGCTTTTATTCCATGCAGATTGCTGTCTTCCATACCATTGTAGGCTGCAATAATATTCATTGCTGAGACGTACGTGCCTAAGCGTATTCATGTAGTATCAGGACTCGCAGCAAAAAGGTCATCGAACCGCGTACAACAGCCATGGCTTTTGTATCAGTGGCAGGAGGGCTGCGCGCCATTTCGTTATAGCCACGCTAGCCAAGCTGACATCGCCAGCAAGAATACTCCCCATGTTTGCGATCAAACAGGCGGAGCCAATACTTATCACAGCAATCACGCCGTCATGCTGCATTTTGGTAATATTGATCAACTCACAGTCGACCATCCACTGCTCAAGGAAGGCAAGTTGCGATTAATAAAGGTATCATATGTACGAAGCGACGCTAAAACAGCAAACAAAAAGCCATAATCCAATCCTAACGACCGCCAATCTGGCCCTTGGGAAGAGGCTTTACCCACATGAACATGCAGTTGAGCGCAATGATCATGATGCCAATGATCCAGAAAACCTGCGCATAGTCCGTCTTGTGATAGCGGAAGATGATGGCGAAGATGATACCACCAAAGTTACCAGTCGCGCCAACGATACCGGAGAGGATGCCTTTGGAAATGTTAGTAGGTCTTCTCTCAATGAGTGAAGCAATCGGGCTTACCATTAGCGTGAGGGTGGATGTGAGGTACGAGCGCGAAATTTGCACCATTACCTGCCTCAAGGAATATGGCCATGACCGCAATGAGGCCAATCATCTCGCTGAGGTTGTGGGGGTCCACCTTTCCAATGACGATGCACATTATACCAGACATAACGCCGACGAAGTGGATCCAGAACTTCTTTGCCCAGAGGTTGCGACCGGTAACCTTGTAGATAAGGTCCGCAATGAAGCCACCGAGCGGTCGGGTAACAACGTTCAAGAGGCCGAACATAGCTGCCCAGCGTCCAGATTGTGTTTGACCAAGGGACTGGAAGTTCTTGAGGTAATAAGCACCAAGGATAGAGTTGATAGCGAGTTCACCACCGAAGGAGCAGAAGTAGCCCGCGCAGAGCATCAGTGTCTGGAGAGAGAACATGACCTTCAGTCCCTCTTTCAAAGTAGGCTTGACTACGACTTCGTGCTGGAATTCGTCCATGACTTGAACATCACCACGTCCAGCCTCTACGTCAGCGGCCGGTTGCTCTCGCTTCTTTTCGTCGTTGGAGGAAATCGATCCAGTGGTCGCAGGCTTGTCATCGAGGGCACCGGTCGTGGGGACCACGGAAGCTTGGTTGGTTTGATCGCTGCTAGACACTACGGTTGCCCCACGCTCAGACCACTTTCCGGTAGGCGTATCGTCGGTCAACAGCAGGAGACCGGTAGCGCATGCACTGATCATGATGAATGGAACGATGAAGGAGACTCTCCATGCGACGTGCGAGGAGAGACCCTGGTCCCTCTTCAAAGAGTCGTAGATAGCGGGCATGACGAAGCTGAAGAAAAGTCAGTGGAAGCTGCTTCATAGGGGACGTCCCGCTTACTATGTGATACCGCCGCC